CCCTGGGCCCCCGGAAGTGGCCGTCGCAGGCCTCCACCGCGCCCTCCCCAGGTGAGGGGCTGGGGGCTGGCCGTGCGGCCCGAGGCGAGCCGCGAGGCCGTGGCTCTGGCCGCCTCTCACAGGCGGCTTTGTGACGCCCCGCCAGGCTCCCAGCCCCACTCCAGGCCCGACCTGTGCCCTGACCCGAGCCCTGCCGCCCTCCGGCCGCTGCCATCGCCAGCCCCTCCCTCCACCAAGGTAGGTGCCTCCCTCCCCGCGGGGCAGGTGCCAGCTGGGAGGCAGCCGGGGTGGGCAGCTCGCACCCGCGACCTCCCCCGACCAGGTCGCTGGCAGCAGCCCAGCGTGGGGTCCCTGCTGCAGGGGCCCGGGCCCGGCCCCTTCTGCTGGCCCCTCTGCGAGATCGCCCAGGGCACCCGCGACTTCGCGGAGGAGCTGCGCGTCGGCGAGGGCGGCTTCGGCTGCGTGTACCGCGCCGTCCTGCGGAACACCACGTACGCCGTGAAGAGGCTCAAGGAGGTCGGCGGCCCGCGGGACGGGACGGGACGGGACGGGACGGGCCGGGCCGGGCTGGGACGCGACGCGACGCGACGCGACGCGTTGGGCACAGCCGAGGCCACCTGGCCTCACCGGCCTCTTGCCGCCCCGCCTGCCCGCCGCAGGAGGCCGACCTGGAGTGGAGCGTGGTGAAGCAGAGCTTCCTGACCGAGGTGGAGCAGCTGTCCAGGTGAGCCTGGGCCCTCCTGCTCCCGGGGCGCCAAGAGGGAGAGGAGAGAGCGGCGCCGGCAGCCGCGGCTCAGCCCCTCCGCTTCATCACACAGGTTTCGCCACCCGAACATCGTGGACTTGGCTGGCTACTGTGCAGAGAGCGGCTTCTACTGCCTCGTCTACGGCTTCCTGCCCAACGGCTCCCTGGAGGACCGGCTCCACTTCCCAGTAAGCTGCCTGGTCCCTACGCAGGGCAGGCATCCAGCACCCCTGTGGCACCTGGCACGGAGCTTGGCCTGAGGTGCATCCATGTCCCTGGAAGAACACTTTCCTGCGGCCTGTTCCAGGCAGCTCCTCTGAAAGCCGGCTATTATTTTGGGACTTGGTTGCTTGCTTGGTGTTCCTATGTAGTCCAGGCTGGCTTTGAACTTGCAGCAATCCTCCTGCCTCAGCCTTCTCAGGGCTGGATTACAGGAACGGGTCACCACACCTGGCTTTTCCATGGCTTTGGGATAGTTTGGGCTCCACACTCTAGTAAATTTGGTCATAGCCATTTTGGTCACTTTCCAGAAGGAAAACTGAGGCTCAGGGTGTGGAATGGCTGGTTTGATCCAGGCCACACAGCGACAGGTAGGGGGAGGGGTGGCCTCAGAGAACAGCTTGTTGATGGGGCTCGGAATCCTCGAACTTCATCTTTGTTTCCTCTGACTCCAGCCGCAGGCCTACCTGCCTCTCTCTTGGCTGCAGAGACTGGACATCCTGCTGGGCACAGCCCGGGCCATTCAGTTTCTACATCAGCACAGCCCCAGCCTCATCCATGGTGACATCAAGAGGTGAGGGCGGGAGCTTCGGGCTTCGGGGACAGACATAGCCCAGAGTCCCAGGGCGGGGGCCCCCAGGCATAGAGCAGCCCCCATGGCACAGGTGCAGAAATGCCCCCACCCGCAAGCCCCCTGACGAGCCCTTTCCACAGGCAAGGCATCCGGTGGGCAGCCCTGGGCCAGTCCTGTTGGGGCTGCTCACACCGCCCTCTCTGCTGCCCTAGTTCCAACGTGCTTCTGGATGACAGGCTGATGCCCAAGCTGGGGGACTTCGGCCTGGCACGGTTCAGCCGCTTCGCAGGGGCCACGCCAGGCCAGAGTAGCACCATCGCACGGACCCGCACAGTGCGGGGCACGCTGGCCTACCTGCCAGAGGAGTATATCAAGACAGGCAGGCTGGCCGTGGACACAGACACCTTCAGCTTTGGGGTGGTGAGCGTGAAGCCCGAGCTGGCCGGGAAGGAGGGGTGTGGTAGGCCGAGGCAGGAGGGTAGGAGAGGTCTGCAGCAGCCCGAGGTTGGCCAAGCTGCAGTACCAGATGCTGCTTCATCTGTGTGGCGCCTTCATTCCCCTGCACACTTGGTGTCTGTCACCTTGTGCTCCTTTACTTCAAGTCAGCCCTGTGAATCACTTCCGCTTCACTCCCATGGCAACACCTCCGCCAGCCCGGTGCACGTCCGCTGGGGGCCTCCCTGCTGAGGCCAGGGCCGGGCTCTGTCCCACCCTCTCCAGGTCGTGCTCGAGACCCTGGCCGGCCAGCGGGCTGTGAGGACACACAGTGCCAGGACCAAGTATCTGGTGAGCCCAGGGTGGAGGGTGGAGTGAGCCGATCGCGCCACTGACTCATCTTTGGAGCGGGCAGAGCCCAGACTGCTTCCTTTCCCCTCAAGAACCTGTCTCTGTCCTGCTCGCTCTCTGGGCCTCAACACCGACTGGGGCTGGGGACAGGGAGGGGACAGGGAAAGCAAGACAGGTGGGACACAGGATGAGGGCTTGGAGGGCCTGCATGCATGCACTGCTGGCTTCTACAGACCTTTTCGTTCTCGTCCCCTCTGTCCCACGAGGGGCTCTTGCTGTCCTGTTCCCTGCTGCCAGTGAGCCGGGAGCCCGCCTGCACCCCTCCCTTCCCTTTGGCCTGTGGCCGTGCAGCCTCCAGGTTCTGGCCTTGAGCCTTGCTAACAACAACAGGCTTGGTGGAATGGAGTTCCCACACCCAGAAGTGTGTTCTGCGGGTGGGCCCTGGAGTGTCGTGCTCATCTCTGTGTCCCTGAGCCCACGGCAGGGCTGTGCTCATGGTGTCGCCCCACAGAAGGACCTGGTGGAGGAGGAGGCTGAGGAAGCCGGGCTAAGCCTGAAGAGCACCGGGACCACACTCCAGGCTGGCCAGCCTGCCGACGCCTGGGCCATGCCTATCGCCGCCCAGATCTGTGAGAAACACCTGGACCCCAAGCCCGGGCTGTGCCCACCCCAGCTGGGCCTGGCCCTCGGGCAGCTGGCCTGCTGCTGCCTGCACCGCCGGGCCAAGCGGAGGCCCCCCATGACTCAGGTAGCCTGGGAGCAGCCCGACCCGAACACCTGCCGGCCCCTCCTCCCTTCCTCCCGTTCCCCTCCCGCCCCCTGCGCACTCTCCAGGCCCTGGCTCTGGCGCCTGACCCCCTCTTGGTGTGGGCCGAAGGGCGAGCCAAGGAGCTGGGTTCCTGCAGCCCCAAGTGACTGTGCTGGCTTGGGGCAGCAAGCGACAGGTGACCCAGGGGGCCTGGCAGCATTGTTGCCACCCATCCTGACGGCCTGCCTCCCTGCGCAGGTGTATGAGCAGCTGGAGAGGCTGCAGGCAACTGTGGCTGGACCTCTGCAGGAGCTAGAGGTGGCTGGCCAGGGTGCCCCATGCCCCCAGGAGAACTCCTACGTGTCCGTGTCTGGTGGCAGCGGCCCCCAGGGTGCGGGGGCCCTGCCCCCGCGGGCGCATTTGGGGGCACCTGCTCATGCTGACCCGCAGCCCCGCCAAAGCCCCAACCAGCCCGTGGAGAGTGATGAGAGCCTGTCGGGCCTCTCTGCCGTCCTGCACTCCTGGCACTTGAGCCCCAGCTGCCCCCTGGACCCCACGTCCCTCCGAGGGGCAGGCACCACTCCCAAGTCCAGCTGGGGCAGCATCCCAGGCCCAGGGGCCCCGGCCAGAGAAGGTATGGGCAGGGGACAGGAGAGGGCAGAGGGGTCCCATTCAGGGCACTCACACCCCACCTGGACCTCCCGAGGGGAAGAACGAGGCCGGGTTACCGTGTCCCGTGAGCTCAGGCCATGGAAGAGGACATAGACCATGGCCCAAGGCCGTCCGGTTCCCCTTCCTAGCTTGTCCCCACCCCCAAAAGCGGCAGGAGGCCCCATGTGGGCTTGACCTTGGCTTCTGTGAGGCTGGCACATCACCAAGAGTGCCCAGGGAGGCTCAGGGTGTTCTCTCCCAGCAGGGTCACCTCCGGGCAGCTCTGCCTCCTCGTCCTCCTCCACCTCTGAGGCGCCACAGATTGTCATTAACCCAGCCCGGCGAAAGATGGTGCAGAAGCTGGCTCTGTACGAAGGCGGTGTCCTGGACAGCTTGCAGCTGCTGTCGTCCAGCTCTCTGCCAGGTGCCAGGCCTCAGAGGATGGGTGACCTCCACCCCCCAGTTCTCAGTGGCTGCTGTGCCAGCCTGCCCCTCCCCAAACATCCCATGAGCAGGCCCTGGCATGCGGGGCTCCCCTCTTGTTAAGTGGCCTTTCCCTTTCTCTCCGCAGACTTGGGCCTGGAACCCAGGACAAGACAGGGGCCTGAAGAGAGTGATGAATTCCAGAGCTGATGTGTCGTTGGGGTGTGTCCCCAGACCCGGAAGTTAAAGTTCTCATGTTCGGAAGTTCTCACAGCACATGACCTTCCTGCCCCAGGGCCACGGGCATAGGCAGCGTGGTGGCCACAGAGGGCATGATGTCTCAGGGTTGCCCCATGGGCACTGTAGTGGCACCAGCGGGGATACCTGAGCTTGTCATCCGTGCTGGCGTAACTAGGAAAGGGAAAACAGCTGCGATTGGCACGGTTAGGCCAGGAGCCAGGGCAGAGCTCTGAGGAGCCGGGGGTGTCCGCTGCCTGCTATCCAGGCTGCCACATGCAGTCCCATGCCCAGCAGGCCCCAGTTCCACCAGCTCAGCCAGCCACTGCCCAGGGTCCGGCTAGGCCGAGGCCCGTGTCCAACGCAAGCAGGAAGTTGGGAGCAGGCAAGAGAGGAGGGTAGTGTTGGCAGAAGCAAGACCAGCCTGGTGTGAGTGAGTGCCCCTCGTGGCTTCACAAGTTTCCCCGGCCGCAGCACAGGCTGGTGAGGGTTGCGTTCCAAGCAGTAGTCACACTACAAGCCCAGAAACTAAGCATTGGTGACACCCAGGTTGTCCTGCAGCAATAAAGATTTCACATTCCCACGCTGACTACGCCTGGAGTTTGTTTCCCGCAAAGCCTCAGGCCTTCCCAAGCCTTTGCATCTCAGGGCCAGAGGCAGGCCCAACCCTCTGGTGGCTCCTGTCGCTCACAACAAGCCAGGCTGCACTTCGCCTTGTGTATCTCATGGCTTTGCTTGCTTTTTTTTTTTTTTTTTTTTTTTTTTTTTTTTTTTTTTTTTTTTTTTTTTTTGGTACTGGGGATGGAACCCAGGCCTTTGCATTGAGCCATATCCCCTGCCTTTTTGCTCTTTTTTTTTTTTTTTTTTTTTAATTTTTTTATTTTTGTCTTTTTGAGACAGGGTCTCACTATGCAGTTCAGGCTGGCCTTGAGCTCACTTTGTAGCCCAGGCTGGTCTCGAACTCGCAACAATCCTCCTGCCTCAGCCTCCCGAGTGCTGGGATTACAGGCATGCGCCAACACGCCCAGCCACTCTTCTCTTTTCTTCCTTTTTTTTAGTTTCAAGACAGAGTCTCTCTAGATTGCCAAGGCTGGGTTCAAACTTGCAGTCCTGCCGCAGCCTCCCAGGGTGCTGTGATTACACATGTGTGCTACCATGCCTGGCTGATGGTATTTATCCAGTTTAGGTGTTTGCTAGATTCACAAGCCATTTTGTACCTGGAGTTTTCTTTCTGGGAAAGCTTTATTGGTTTGCTTTGGGGGTTTTGTGGTGATTTTCTTTTTTTTCCCAAAGTGCTGAGTGTAAGCTGGGCTTCACATGCTAGGCAAGCACTCTGTCACTGAGCGATGCCCACAGCCCTTTGGGAAAGCTTTGAATTACAAATCCACTTTCCTTAATTACATATCATGCCTTCCACATTTTCCGTTTGTCAGTTTTGAGAATTCTTACGTTTATGTTTTTTGTGTGTGTGCATGTTAACAGGATTAAATCCAGGGCCTCTGCACTGAACTGCATCCCCGGTCCCTTTTTCTATTTTTTATTTCAGGACAGGGTCTAAGTTTGTAAGTTGCCCAGACTGGGCCCAAACTTGGAATCCTCCTGCCTCAGCCTCTCAAAGTGCTGAGATGAGAAGTATGTGCCACCACACCCAGCCTCTGTTGTCTTTAAGGAATTTGTCCATTGCTTCTAACATGGCACAAAGTTAATAGCCCCTTATTTTAAAAATAGTACTAACGGGGGCTGGGGATTTAGCTCAGCGGCAAAGCGCCTGCCTGGCAAGCGCAAGGTCATGAGTTCGATTCCTGATACCAGAAGAAAAACAAAAATAGTACTAATGGCCAGAAATGGTGGTGCATGCCTCTGATCCCAGCACACAGGAGGCTGAGGCAGGAGGATTGCCATGAGTTTAAGACCAGCCTGGGCTACACAGTGAGTTCAAGGCCAGCCTGAACTATACATAGCAAGACTGTGTCTCAAAAAAGCAAATGGCCGGGGATATAGCTCAGTGGCACAAACACCTGCCTGGCAAGCTCAAGGTCCTGAGTTTGACTCCCAGTACCAAAAAAAAAAAAAAACAAATAGTATTAATGATGTTCCCCTCATCCTTTTTTTTAGTCTTTCAGAGACAGGGTCTAGCTATGCAGTTCATGCTGGCCTAAAGCTCAGTTGGTAGCCCAGGCTGGCCTCGAACTTGCAACGATCCTCCTGCCTCAGCCTCTCGAGTGCTGGGATTACAGGTGTGCGCCACCACGCCCGGCTGTCCCTCGTCTTGTTAACACATGGTGGAGGCAACCCCACCTCCACCATTCTGGGTAGGTGGTGTGTGTCTTCGTTTTCTTTTGAGCCCGAGCAACCCTCCTGTTTCAACCTGTCCAGTAGCTGGGACTATAGGTACACACAACTCCCAAATTCCTTTTTTCATTAATCAACCTAGATAGAGGCTCACCTATTGTATTGATAGTTTTGAAGAGCCAATGTTTTGGGTTTCTTTGATTTTCTTATTTACCCAGTTTCTATTTTGTTCATTTCCACTTGAGCATTTCCTCTATTTTGCTTCTTTTGGGGGATATTTCATACTTTTCCGCTTCTTAAAGTCTAGCCTTGAGTCACTTGAGTTTAGCCCATTCCTTCTCTGCTCCCTTCTTTCTTCATTTGTTTTGTGAGATGTGCTCTGGCCTTGTAGGCCAGGCCAGCCCTTTTTTGTTTTGTTTTTGAGACAGGGCCTCTCTATGTAGCCCAGGCTGGCCTCCAACTCCAGGCGATTCTCCTGCCTCAGCCTCCCAAGTCCTGTGATCACAGGCATGCATCACCATGCCTGGCTCCAGGCCAACTTTAACTCACTGTAGCACAGGCTTTTTTCTTGTCATTCCCTAAATAGGACAACATGACAACAGACGATCGTGCACCAATTTGCTGTGGATAAGAGGCAACTGTTTGTAAACGAAACAATACGTTTCTTTCTTTGTTTGAGACAGGGTCTCAATTTGTAGTCCATGCTGGCCTCAAAACTCGTGATCCTCCTGCCTCAGCCTCCTGAATGCTAGGATTACAGGTGGGTAGCACCACACCCAGTTCTGGCCTGTTCTAATACAAGCATACCTAGTGCCCAGAGTTAAGGGAGGAAAGGATTGTTTGGCTCACAGTTTGTAGAGGTTTCAGTCCACCCACAGTCAACTGGCTCCAAGGCAGGAAGGTGTGGCAGACGCTATCACAGAGGAGAAACAATCCATGGCAGGCAGAAGGCTGCAGGGCAGCAGCAAGGATGCAGGGCGGCAGCGAGTCTGCCCTCCTCTCCCTTTTACCCCACCCAGGCCACAGCCTATTGGTTGGTGCCACCTACCCCAGGGTGCGGCTTCCATCGTCCACACCCAGCACCACACCAAACCCATTGTCACCAGCACACCTGCATGTGTGCTAACCCAGGCACCTCAGTGTGTTAGGCTAGGGTATCTGGACACAGCCGAGACACAGGCAAAGCTCTTAGTTTCTCGTCAAGCACACCCTTGGCTACGTTGGACACATTTCAGTGTGTTCTCTTTTTGTTGTCATTCCACTCATAATACTTAACAATTTCACTTGTGATTTCTTCCTCAACCAATGGCTTACTTAGAAGTGTGTTTAGCTGGGCGTGGGTGGCACACACTCGTCGTGCCAGCACTCAGGAGGCTGGGGGAAGAGGATCACCCCAGGCTCGAAGCCAGCCTGGGTTTCACAGTAAGCTTGTGGCTGGCCAAGACTGCACAGAAGCTACATGCATCACTTGCAAATCACTGACAGCCCCCGCCCAGCGAGGTGCGGCATGGCGCGGCACCTTGGTGCTCGCACAGAATCGCCCTCTGCACCAAGTGGAAGAAGGCCTCGCTTACCCTGTGCTGTTTCCCATTGAACTCCACTGTGAGCAGAGAATTGACTCTGGAGGGTTTCATTTCTTTTCAATTTAGCCAACTTGTTTTTTGGCCTAGGATATGATTTCGCTTGGTAAATATTCCACATAGATTTGAGAAGGGTATACAAGGTGTGATCAAAATACAGTCAATGTTTACAAATGTATAAAAATGTGTTCTAATAAAAGACACATGGCCATGAGGCCCCCACAGTCCTCCCCATCCTCCTTTCCACTTTTTTCGGCGGGGGCGTTGAGAGAGGGTCTTGTCATGTAGTCCAGGCTGGCTTTGAGCTCGTACTGACCCTCCTGCCTCAGCTTCCCAAGTGCTGGGATGACAGGAGTGCGCCACCATGCTCATCCCCCTTGCCACTTTCTGCAGCAGCTCTGAAGCCCTCTTTCCTGAGGGTCTGTAGTCACAGCGTCCTAGCTACCTCCCTGTCCTGCGCACACGAGGTACCCAGAAAGCCCTGTGCTCTGGGAGGCCGAAGCAGGGGGATGTAAGTTCCAGGCAGCCTGGGGAACTGATTGACTTAGCGAGACCCTGCCTCAAAAAATATAAAGGGCTGGGGTTGGAACTCTGTGTGAAGGTGAGGACCGTGGGAGGAGTGTGTGGAAGCGCAAGGAGCGCCTTGTAGAGTTTGAGGCAAGGCATCATGCCCTCAGAGAAAAAGTTTTATTTCAAACATTCGTGCTTATTTTGGGTTGGGTTGTGTGTGGTGCTGGGGGTGGAATGCATATGGCCAACCCCTGTCTCATGCATAGCTTTGTCGTGGTATAACTCTCCCCATTCTTTTTTGTTTGATTGTTTGTTTGTTTTTCGGTACCGGGAATCGAACTCACGACCTTGAGCTTGCCAGGCAGGTGCTGTGCCGCTCAGCTAATTCCCCAGCCCTTGTCTGTTTTTTTGAGATAGGATCTCGCTGTGTAGCCCAGGCTGGCCAGGAACTCATGGTGATCGTCCTGCCTCAGCCTCCTGAGTTCGGGCATGACAGGTGTGGGACACCACCCCCACCTGCCCTTTTTTTTTTTTAAGTGAAATATAATTTTTTTTTTCCCAGTACCAGGAATCAAACTCATGACCTCGCACTTGCCAGGCAGGCGCTGTGCCACTGAGCTAAATCCCCAGCCTAATTTCTTTTTTTTTTTTTTTTTGTCTTTTTGAGACAGGGTCTCACTCTGCAGTTCAGGCTGGCCTTGAGCTCGCTTTGTAGCCCGGGCTGGCCTCGAACTCACCGTGATCCTCCTGTCTCCGCCTCCCGAGTGCTGGGATGACAGGTGTGCATCACCACGCCCGGCCTAATTTCATTTTTTAAATTTTTATTTTTATTAGTCCATGTTTGCAGCACATCATGACCACTTTTGAGGGTGGGGGCAGTGCACATGCAGAACACATCTCAATTCTTCTTATGTCTGCTTCCCCACCCTCCTCCGTCTCTCAGTCCCCTTCCTATTTGCAGAAGATTTAGCTCCCCGCTTCCTATTCTCTCTCTTTTATTCTGCTATTTATGTACACTTTGGGTCTCTCACATAAAAGAGGTTGAGTGTCTGATTCATTTCACTTAACACGATGGTCTGAAGGTGCACATTTTCCTACAAATCACTCAGGTTCAGCCTTCTTTACAGCATAGTAGCAGTCCACTGTGTGTAAATACTATCTCCTCCCGCCCTTAGGTCCTGAGGATTGAACCCAGAGCCTGCACATT